TTATTATATATATATATATATATATATATATGTATATGTGTGTGTGTGTTTCCTCTGAGTCTCTGAGGAAAGTCAGTGAAAAAATCAGCAAGAGCTAATGGTTTAAGGTGAGGTTATTATAGCTTAATGAGTCAGCTTGACTGTGTAGAATCTGAGCAGCCTTTACTTTCATTCGTACCTTCTATAACAAGGCTCTGTCTACATGACAACCAGGTAGAAGGCTAGCCATAAGGTAAAGTTGGAGGATTTCACATATTTTTTTCCTGTTGTCCAGCATGGACAACAACAGGTAGATTGGCCACAAGTACTGAAGACCCAAGGGATCATTGATTTCTCAAGTTTTGGGGCACATTTTTTATGGCTGAGGATAGGTGTGCGAACATTTTAAGTCTGCATATGTGCTGCTTGACCTAGTTTATGTTTGTAACCAAGCATTATGACTGAGCTTAACCTATGTACTCAGCTGCTGCATGTTTGACCAGTTACAATTTAGTCAACCATTGCATTTGAGTCCAGACTTTCAGTATTTAAGGTCAAGTTCCAGTTGCAGTCATTCTCTCATTTTTCCATTCTCACCTGACCTGACCTGAAACAGTTTCTGAATTCCAGTCCCATTCCTGTATATTTCAACTGATTTAGCTTGAATCCTTATCAACATTTGAAACCTTCCTGCTTCTCCAAGATGCCTGGGATTTTCTCTGTTGTGAGGGGTGAAATTAATTAGGATACAGAGACTACCAGGCTAACATTTACTGTAAGTGAGCCCATAAATGAATTAGCATTGCTTGCTGATTGGCCTGACTTGGGAAAGCTATTGGAATCAGTAAATGGGTTGACACTAATGTCTACAAGGACCTAGGTGCCAACCATGGCTGATGAAGACATACCTGTAGTAACCTATATCCAAGCCTTAAAGCAGCAGGAGTCTATACCATTGTTAACACCACCCGATAAGATGAAGATCTAAGAAAAGAGGGGCCTGTTGATTTGTAACATTCATTGGTGCAGCACAATGGCCATTTAAAAGTGAACATAAACTAGCTTACATTAATGCAAATTCCAGTGCTTAAGCACCATTGCCAGGAGGCATTTGTTGAATAGAAGTATGCCTAGTTTCTCTATAACAGGGAAAATGATAAGCTTAAATGAAGATAGTCTAGTTGAAGTCAAGAAGAACATGGCGAAGGCTTGAGCAGATTTCATGTCAACCATGACTACCAGTTGAAATAACATGAAAGCTCTGCTGGAGGAGTTAAGGTGAATGGAGTGAGGTCTTGCTCAATTTCTGGGATGAAGGCATTCCAAATTAAATAACACTCAACAAAATGTACAAAATATGTACGCCAGATACCTTAAATATCCCTTGTTTCATGAATGCTCATATTAAAAAAATAACATGAAAATCCAAGATATATATATATATATATATATATATAT